CCTGGGGCTGGGGTGTAGAACTCTTGGAAAAAGTCCATGCCCTCCTCTTGCACTGGATGTTTACAAAGTAAGAATCCTGGCTCCTTGCTGAGTCACCTAATGAAACTTCTAAACTTCTCAAGTTGACACAATGTATCAACCAGTACAAAGATGTAAGGCAAAAAAGGTTCCCTGTAGTCTCTTTGCCTTAACCTTTTTCATGTTCTATTTTTGCTCATGTGATTTTAAGATGTGTGTTACTTTGGCTTTGTAGCTCCAGTGTGTAAGAATCCAAATGAAAAAGGGAATGAGGGTGCTTCTGGAGCAGATAGATGCCTGTTACTTAGAGATGCACATACTCAGTTGAACTCAAAGACTTTGTCTTACATGGTTGAATGATCATCAGGAAACAGGAAAACAACATATTTTTTTCTGTTTAAGGACACAGACGAGTCAGCAGTATACACTGGATAATTTAAAAGCAGTCCTATCATGTAGATACAGCAGTTTATTTGCACAGTTTCCAAAAGAGCAAATTTTATCATTGCTAGCTTAACTACATGAGAAAAATAGAACAATCCTGGTATGTTTTAGTGATCCAAGCAGGGCTTACGGTTCTTCTTGTGAGTTAGTCCTTTACAAAAACTTGAAATCCTGGTGCTGTATTGACAAAAAGTCATGATTCCTGGACTGAGACTTGGCTCAGACAAAGCTAATCGTGGTTAGGATTGTTCAGCAATTTAAAGAGCTGGTGACACAAATGAGTGAACAGACTTTTATAATTTAAGTTGTTGACTTGTAGCATCTGTGTTACTCCTTCATCAGAAGCTGGGAAAACTAGTAACTTTTTGGTAACAAAAATGTATGTGTATTGTTTACTTTATTGTCAATATTGGTGAATGATGATTTCATATCCCTTTGACAACACAGGAAAACCTACAAAACATTTTGAAGTTTCCAAAGTCATTAAAATAAATTTGTTGCATAAAGTAACTGGAAAATAAACTGCATGGAATCTGTATTGTTTTCAAGTTGTAAGAAAATGGAGACCTAGATTGCCTAAAGTAGTGAGGATACAGCATAAAGAAATAATCAAATATAGCAGTAATCTCAGACACTGGACAGTTGTTATGGCCCCATCCATTATTGAAAGTCCTTTCATCCTGCTGTTAGTTCCATGCTTGGCTTCCCATGCTTGGCTTCGCTCAGTGTTGGTTAACAGTTTCACTCCTCCCTCCTCTCTGCTTCATGGCCTCTGCCATGTATTTTGGCCTGTGCTGTGATTGACATTCATATTTCTCAGAGAATCAGAATGACTTAATTGATCATTATTAGGGTGTGATTCAGGAGTTCCAGCCAGACCATAGATAATTGCTTTTAGGTAAGCTGTTGAACCTTCACCTTGGAATTGAAAGTCCAGGTTGTAACCAAGGTGATGAGATCACAAGACCTCACAAGGTAGCTTCCACTTACAGCTGCTTTTTTTTTCCACAAATAGCTAGCTGCCTCTTGAAGGACTCTGCAGGGGCTGAAAGTGTGGCTCAGTGGTAGTGTGTGTGTGCTTAGCATGCTGGAGCACCCGGGGTTCAATCCCAGTACCAAGAAACAAAATACCTTTGAGCAAGGATTACAAATTTAGCTTTCTAGAGTGCCAAAAGGACTGGTGAACTGGGAAGAACTCCTCATCTCCAGCCAGTTGGTTCTGTGTGGCATTGCATGTCAGCTTTTCTCACAAATCAGAAATCCAGATTTGAAATCTCAGTTCTTACTGGCTAATATCCCATCCCCCACACACAAAAAAGAAGAAGAAACAAAGTGTTCAGGCCAGCAAAGTAGATGGGTGGATTACTAATTTATAATATTGATATTTTTAGTGTACCTGATGTATCTGTCTTTAATGATGCTGCCCAAATGAGGCTGCAGTGTATATAAAGAAGCCTAGCAGAGTGGAAAAATGCCAGCTGTTAGCCACTTACTGCTGTTACAATCCTAGCTAGCCACTTAAACCCACTGAGCGGTTCTTAGCTCATGGAACAGTTTTAAGGCTCAAATTTCAGAAGTGATCTTGCTGAAGTTCCCTACCCAGCTACCATGCATTGTTTCCTATACGTGCCTTATACTAGCCAATCTTACATTATGTATTTGTGCATTTGCTTTTCTGTCTTATTTAGCCCACTACTTAGTGGAGTGCCATAAATATATGATAAAATAGATGATAAAAGCATCTAATAGATTTTACAAAAAATAAGTTTATTAAATCATGTTACTAACCCATTCATTAATGTAAGAATTGCGTTGGAGAGAAAAAATGTGAACACTGATACAAACTAATCTCAGCCGACTGTGGTTGTATGCAGGCTAGCGGATGAATTACACATGCCATCTCTCCCAGAAATGATGTTTGGAGACAACGTGTTGAGAATCCAGCATGGTTCTGGTTTTGGGATTGAGTTTAATGCTACAGATGCTTTAAAATGTGTAAACAACTACCAAGGAATGCTTAAAGTGGCGTGTGCTGAAGAGTGGCAGGAAAGCAGGTGAAAATTGGGGCAATTATGGGTTAAATAAAAAAGAAAAAGTTTCATTTGTGTGTCAGTAGAGCGAAGCACTAGTGTTAATTATTATTAGACTTTATACAGTTAGTTGACTTATTCTAGAATTTGTTTTTCTCAAAAAATGGGAGAGTAATTCTGCTACTTGAGTACTCATTAAGTTACACTGAGCCATGTGCAAGTCAATTTTCAAAGCTTTAGTTTTGTCAAGAAGCAGTATGTTTAGTGTTCCTGCTTTTAAAGAAAAACTGGGCCTGGGGAGATAGCTCAGTAGAATAAGTGCTTGTCTGGCAAGCGCAGGGTCCTGAGTTCAAACCCTGGTACCGCAAGAAAAAAAAAAAAAACAAAAGAAAAAAGAAAAGAAAAACTGGTTACTTATGATTTGCATTGACTATTTATGGAGTATTACAATTAAAAAACATTTTTTAATAATCAAATCAGCAGAGAGACATTCAGGGAACTTGCAGTGCGAAGTGACACTGAGAAAGGTACAGTTTGTGCCTAACTTGTTCTTAGAGGATGTTTTTATAAAGGAACAGGGGCAAAGAGAGGAAAAGTACAGTTTTTATTAATTTTCTCATATAATCCTATGAATGACAATTTGTGCATTTTTCTCTATATACAGGCATTGGAATATGAAACGTATGTGATATGTAATATATATGATGGTTAGTAGCAAAGACAATTACACCTTAAATATTTCTAAAATGTTTATTATAGATAATCTCATTGAAATGTCCACAGAAGTTCAAGTTTTTAGTCTTTTTTTTTTCAAGTTTTTAGTTTTCATAACAGAAATATAGAGATAAATTCAGAGTGGAGGGTAACACAAAATCTAAGACAAATAAATGGCCTATATGAATACAAAAAAAAATAATAATCAAATCAGCAATTTACTTTGTACCTGTTGGTTGCTAGGTACTGTAGAAGATCTTAAGAATTATAAACATTTAAATCATGTCCTTAGGCAGTGGACAGACTACTTAGAAAAATTATTATGATTATATGAACACCTGACAAGTTAAATAATAGGCATGCTGAAAACTAATATCTTGTGCTAGTAAATTGGGATAAATATACAGTAGAATATTTTATATACTTCATAGAATGTAATTTCCCGTGATATGAATACAGGTGATCTATATTCTGTGTCACTAAATCTGATCTGTCTTATTTTGGTATTTGAGGACGGAAGGTGAGCACTCTAAAGAGGTTGTTAAGCCGTATGATTGGACCTATACAACAGATTATAAAGGAACATTACTTGGAGACTCTCTGAAATTAAAGGTAAACCTTACTTTTTGCTGTAATGAGTCATTAATTGTCTTGAACAACCTTAGCTTTAGAAATTTCTAGAGATAGGTTATTTTTTGACCACTTATTTTCCATTGTAGCAGAACATAATGTGGTTGACTGATTTTTGAGGTGAGATCTGTGTTGTTCAAGTTGCCCCCCTGCTGGGCTCAAGGGATCTTTCTGCCTCAGCCTCACAAGTATCTGGGACAATGGGAATGAAACACTACACCCTGCTTGGAACATTACTCATTCTTAAAGTGTGATTGGGCTGAGTGCTGTGGTACATTCCTGTCTGTAGTCCTAGAACTCTGGGAGGCTGAAGTAGGGGTATTGCATGTTTGAGCCCAAGCTGGCCAGCTTAGCGACCTAGTGAGCCCCTGTCTCAAAATAAAAGAAAAATTTAAAGAGCCTAATAGGGGGCTGTAGCTAACTTAAACACCTGGGTTCAAACTTTAGCACAGCCCACTCACCACCCACCCCCAAGTATGTTTGGTAGAATGGCAGATTGCTGTTGTATTAACATTATCATGACCAATGAAACATGTATTTTGGTGTAATTGTGAGATGCTTTAAACAGAACCTGCTAGCTAGTCGTTTCAGATTTTACACATTCACAAATATATGTGCAAACAACTTTTGATTGGACAGCTTCAGCATATGTCTTACCTGCTCTATGTATGAACCTGGTAAGTTTAGGCAAGTAATTTAACCCAAGTCAGTAAATTGGGTTAACAAATACCTACTGTGCCATTTATTTTCCCTTTTTATTTGCATGTTTTAGGTATACGTAGTGATAACATTCATCATTGGGAATTTGTACCTATACGTGGTATATGTTCTTGTTTCTTCTTTTTTTCCCATTCCATTCCCTTTACCATGTCATTTTGATACAAAATAATTCTTTGGAAAGTTCTCTGTAGATTCTAAAGCTCTATACTGATGTAATGTTCCATCTGTTTAGGTCCCATCGAATGACACGTAGAAACATAGGTCAGTTGTCAGGTCTCATGTTGGAACATCTTTCATTTTCTTCTAATTCTTGTCCACTTGCCTCAGATTATTTCCCATCCCATAATTGTGTCCATGAGTCAAATGACCTGATTATGGCTATTTAGCAATGCAAAATAAAGCCATTGTCTACTGGATACTTACAGTTTGACAATTGTTTTTGTGCTTATAGTAACCATGTCAAAGAATAGAATAGCTGAATATTTTAGGGTGAAATTGGAAATCATAGAAAATGGTTTCCTAAGTCATATTTTGCTGATATTATTGGAAAGACTGCTCTGCCTTGGGATTGTCAGGGCTGTTGTTGGAGTACTTGTATATGAGTCTGTGGATGGCAAAATAAGCTATTGAAAACATTGCCAGCGTTGTCCAGGCCCCTTGCATGCCAGGAGTTATCCTCAGAATTTCTGTAAAAGTTCTTGATTATCTCAATACTTAAAGCACTTTCTGTGTGTAGGTTTTGAGTTACTTTGGTAATGTGAGATAAGTAAATTCTAATGGAAAAAATATTTTTAAGTTCCCAATGAATACTTAAAAGTACATGTTAGTAGCCTAACCTGGTTTTACCTTCTCAGTTGTTTATCAAGCCAGTTTTCAGTTGATTAAGTTTTTCACAGTGAATGAAGAATACTTGATTTTAATTTGACTTATATAAAAGATGAAGAGTTTTGACTTTTTTTTTTTTTTTGGAGACAGGGCCTTGCTATGTAGTTCAGGCTGGCCTTGAATTCACACCTATCTCAGTCTCCCAAATCCAGGGATTATAGGCATGCACCATCATATCTGGCTTTGACTTTTCATATTTTGGGTACCAGGAATTGAACTCAGGACCTTGCGCTTGCCAGGCAGGCAGTGGTGCCGTTGAGCCTAATCCCTGGCCTTTGACTCTTCTTTTAAGACGCTTAGTATAAGATTTGTATAGTGTGTTCAGTTTTTCAGAGACCACACATATTCTGGTGTCAGTAGATATCACACAATGATAACTGTGTGTACTGGCTGTGCAGAAATAACTGATAAGCAAAAGCACTTTCTTGTGACTGTAGCTCCTTAATTTTTTTTTTTTAATGTGTCCCTTTGTAATTTTTTTTTTTCTTTCAGGTTATACCTACAACAGATCATATAGATACAGAGAAATTGAAAGCCAGAGAACAGATTAAATTTTTTGAAGAAGTTCTCCTCTTTGAGGATGAACTTCATGATCATGGAGTTTCAAGTCTGAGTGTGAAAATAGTGAGTATTGTGATTTTTGTTTAAATGAACATTGCTTTCCATTTTTACCATTGGGCATAAAGTGACACTTTGAATCACACTGAACCTTAACATGGTATCATGTATAATCTCAGGTGTAGAGTACATCTTGTTGGATACCTATTGTTTAGCAAAGCTTTTTTTTAAACCATACTTGCCTGGCTGCTTTGCAGCTAAGTACTGGTTGCTTATTATTGTGACAATGACAACAAAATACCTGTACACATTTCCAAACCTTCTCCATGGCAGATCTGCTCCCTCGAATATCCAGGTGAATTGTGGTACAGTGGGTACTAATCTCTGGTTTCCTAACTCCTGCTGAGTGATTCTGTTACTTGCCTGGGTCGTGCCCAGTTGAAGAAATGTTTGAATTTGTCTTTCTCATAAATTTTAAATAGCACTCTATGATAATTGCCAGGTGATGATGTTCTTCCTAATTTATTATGACCTATCAGATTGTCATAAATCAGGTTTTTTTCTCCAGTCTTCTTTATGGAAAACTTTGCTTTTGAAAAACCTGTTGCTGATAGCTCCATCAGAATGCAGTTTGGCTCAGTACCTTCTCTCCAGCAAAGATAGCTTTCAGCCTCTGTTCCATTGGCAAATGGTAATGAGCATCTGCTGCTTATTAGGCAGCAGCGATGTGGTGTCTGAAGCACGTATTCTTGTGTCCCGTGCAGAGGTAGGCAGTGAGCGCAGAAACACATAAATGAATGTGGTTACACTTGTGTTCATTTGTAATGGAACAGAACAAGAGAATGATAGGAAAGTACTGTGACATAATACGGTAAAAAAAAAGGCCCCTCTCCAGAAAGTGACATTTATACTGAGACCTGAAAGACAAGTACACAAAGGCCAGGAGATGTTACTGGCTTGTCTTGTTATTTTTTTGTTAGTGGAGTCTTGTGTCTCTGTGGAAAACTGGCAGTTCTGAATATATCTGACCTTTTCTGTATGCATTTTTCCTTTTTTGTGTGTGTGTTTTTGAGACAGCATCTCACTTTGCAGTTCAGGCTGGCCTTGATCTCACTTTGTAGCTCAGGCTGGCCTTGAACTTGCAGGGATCCTCCTGCTCAGCCTCCGGAGTGCTAGGATTACCGGCGTGCACCACCAACCACGCCTGGCTCTTCTATGCTTTTTTCTTTCTTTCTTTCTTTCTTTCTTTCTTTCTTTCTTTCTTTCTTTCTTTCTTTCTTTCTTTCTTTCTTTCCATGGTGAACTCAAGCATTGGCATCCCTGACTTTCTTCAGCAGCTTTAGGTATTTCTTTCTGCTTGACTTCTTTTCCTGGTTGTTCAAAGTTTTGGATTTTATGGTAAATCAAAGTCCTGTTACAGTAAGGACTTGCTACTTGGTAGACAAACATTTAGAAAACGATTAAGCTTTCTATAGCAGTTACATTTGGAAAGCGTACAAATATGTAGATGTGCCACAGATGAAAGACTTTAAGAATGTGTTGTAAGCATCCTGGTATACCAGTCTTTGACTTATGAAATACTACAAAATGTGCTGCATTGAACAAAAGCATTCTGTTCAGGTCTTTTGCCTTTACTTTGTATAAAGTGAATAAAAACAAGTAGCAGTGAAGAACTAGGTTCCTTAATTTCTGTTTCTCTGGTACTGATATTTACTATCAGTATCACCAGTTTTTAAAATGAACGTTGGAATTTTCAAATAATTTAGTTACGCTTTAAGGGTTTTATGTCTCCGCTTCTTTTGATCTGGGAGAAATTTTCTGTTGGGAAAACACTAAGATGCTGCATGATGCTAAGTAGTTTGCAAGGTTTTACGACTAGTTGAAACCAGGACAAAAATCTCTGGGTCAGAGATTTTTATATATAGATGGTCCCTGACTTACTGATGGTTCCAATTAGGATTTTTTGGCTTTGGGATGATGTGAAGGTGACGTTCATACAGGAGAAACTGTATATTGAATTTGATCTTTTCCCAGCCTAACAGTATATGGTACGATGCTCACAGTGCTGGGCAGTGAGCCATGGCCAGTCAGCCTGGGTCCTGTGGGCAAACCACGGACACTCTGCTGTGCTTTGTTGCTAAGTTGCAGTGATGGTCATTTGGTGTCTCAGTGACTTGTTGCTGGAGCAAAATCTGTAATGCCCCAAGTTAAAGGAGGAAAGGTTTACACCACTCACAGTTTGTAGGTTTCACTTCCTCATTGCCAGTGCGAGGAAGGGTGACAGGGCAGAGGGCATCACAGAGGAGAAACCGTCCATGGGAAGACAGGCAGAGAGCAGCACACCTGCCTTCCTCCTTTTCCTTTACATTCCGTCCAGGTCACAAGCCCTTTGGTTGGTGCCATGTATACCCAGGGTGGGTTTTTGTCTTCTGTAAGTCCATTCAGCCACACCCAGAACTGTGCTGATCCAGTCTTAGACTGATCCAGTTAGCACACACTCATAATCCATGTTCACACAGCCTGTATCCAGACACCTCCAGAAAGCCCAGCTTGTAAGGAGAGACTTTGGAGGGACATCAAGATATAAGCCTTAATAAGAGGTTAGGTATATTAATTGCACTTTTGACTTACATTTTCAAGTTGTGATGGGTTTATGGAAACAGTAACATTGTAAGTCAAGGAGCATCTGCATGGCTGATATGGCACTCTTCTAATAGTTTTTTAAAAATCAGTTTTCTTAAGCCAGGGGTGGTGGTCCACACTTGTATTTCCAGCGCTCAGCAGGCTGAGGCAGGAGGAGTGCCATGAGTTCGAGACCAGGCAGAGCTACATAATGAAACCCTGTCTTGAAAAATTTTTTGTTTTAGCAGTGTAATACAATACTTAATTTTTGTGAAAAATATTAATGGACTTTTTTTTTTCCTCCCAGAGAGTAATGCCTTCTAGCTTTTTTCTGCTGTTGCGGTTTTTCTTGAGAATTGATGGGGTGCTTATCAGAATGAACGACACAAGGGTTTACCATGAGGTATCTATTTTCATTTAATGAGTGTCTTAATTGATAATGGGTCTGTTTATGTAGTTTCATTGTCATTCTAAGAGTTTTAAATCAAATGTTTCAAATGGTAATCTATAAACTTTTGAGAGATTCACTGTTTTTTGTTTGTTTGTTTTGTGTTTTGGTGTTGGGAATCAAACTCTCTCAGAACCTCACTCATGCTTGCCAGGTTAGCCACACTGAATTCCCCACTCCAGTTAAATCCCCCGATCCACTGCTGACTGCTCACTGATGCCAGAACATTACAGCTTCTTTTACAAAAGTTCTGGTAGCTGAAAAGACATTTTTGGTGTGGCGAGGGTTTGAGGTGATGCTTTAAAATATTTTTTGTACACAGTATGTTTAACAAAACTGTCCCTTGACTCTTAACCTTTGCTTATAGAATGTATTGTTTATGTAATGCCTGATGATAGAAATACCAATCACATGGCCTTTAAGTCTGTTACATAATTATTTTGATAGCTACTCTAAGTAACTGTTCTGGCCTGGAGTAACTGTTAAACATAAAGCTTTTTTTCTTTTTAAGTAAGTGTTAGGGGGTGGTTAAATTGAATATGGAAATTGCCTCCAGTAACTTCATAGCAGCCTATCCTTTCTGAATGAATTTTTAGCTTTAGATTTGTGATCATGTGGTGTGGTCATAGTAATGATTAATTCTATGACACCTTTGTGAACTCTATCCTGTTAATTATGTGTTCTATATCTGAAGTAACTAGAGAATAGTTTAAACTGCACATCCAGTTTCATAGTTGGTGACAGAGTGGCATTTGAACAGAAGGATGGGATTGGTTTGGTATTTTCCTAAGTTATTCGCTCTGGAATTTTTTCTCCCTTAGCCTTAATGGTGATTCTGGACTGTGTGTGTGTGTGTGTGTGTGTGTGTGTGTGTGTGTGTGTGATTTTAAGACAAGGTCTCACTGTATATCCCACATTGTGAGTGATCCTCCTGCCTCAGCCTCCTGAGTGCTGGGATTACAGGCGTGTGTCAGCATGACTGGCTGTTTTTAAAAGTGGAGGCAAACTACTGAGTTATTCTCCCCCAGAAAGAGTAAAATCTGAATCTTAAAAATACTGTTTTAACTTAGTGATACTGAGTTTGAGAAATTTGTCATAATTCTTCTATACAATAGTTTACAAATATTAATCAGGCAAGGGTTCAGAGCTTTGGGTACATGAACATTCACAGCAGTGCTGCTTGCCCTAGCAAAAGGGAAGAAAAGGAGGAGCTTAGTGCCCTTTAAATTGTTTACTTTGTGTCCATACAGCAGAAAATTTACACAGCCACTGCAATCTATGACTGAGAATTTAATTTAGAAGGATGTCTATCTTAATGTTGAATTTTAGAAGGTGAATATGAGTCCATCTATGTAAGATTTTATGTAGATTTCTAATATGAAAGAAATTGTACATTTAGAAATTATGAGAAAATGTTATCAATAAACTGTGATTACCGATTTATCTCAGTAATATTAATATACTAAAGTATAATATATACATTAAAGTATAATTACCTTATTAATTTTGATTTTGTTCCCAATGAACAATAATTGATTTTATTAATATAAAAAGATTGACACCTTAAAGGAATATTAATTTTTGGTTTTTCTTTCATTGACATGCTTCACCAAAACCAAAATTATAACAAATTGCTACTCTTAAGCCTAACTTTAAAAATCTTAAATGAGAAAAAGTGAATATAGAAGAAATGATTTTAAGTAAGCAACTTAGCGATAGTTTTGTAGAAATGCTAGAGAATAAAAATTTTAAAGCAAATGTTTTGGAACATAGAAATAGCCTGTTGCTTCATGTAGGTAAGTGATAATATAGCTTAAGGAAATGACTTAGTTCAAAATTTGAAATACAAAATATTAAATCTGTTGCATGTCTTGCATACATGTTCTTTCAAAGCAAAACTTTTGCTTGATCTATTTACATATGCATATCTGGCATTAGTGTGATTTCTAAGGATTAGAAATCATACTTCACAATTCCTGATGAGACTTAAAGGAGTTCTCTCAGTGCAGAATGAAATATTTTCATGCTACCCTTACAACCTGTTCAAAATGTAGATAGAATGTTTCATAGAAGGGATTTTATAAGTCAGTGTTAGTAAATTTATTGCAACTTTTAAATTTTCAAATACAGGCTGACAAGAACTATATGTTACGAGAATATACTTCAAGAGAAAGCAAAATTGCTAATTTAACGGTAAGTATTTTAAGTTTCAGTTTTTAGAGCTTGAATTATAATGTTTCATTTTAATTGAATTTGTATCATGTAACTCAGTTCAACTAAATTTATATCATAAACCCACTTGTTCGTATGGCTGTTTAGGATAAATCCTATTGGAGCATAACTTTTCTGAACTTACTTCAAATTCAAGGACATATTGGAGTTATCAGATATTAGCTATCATTTGGTCTGCTTCATTTTTTATTCCAGAAAAGCCATGGTCCAGAGGTGTGACTTAGCCTGAGTCACAATGGTGGTAGAGCTGTAGCTGGCACTGGCTGGGTATTCTTCCCACTAAACACTATTGCTCAATTTTTTGTTATGGTCTCTTTTTTTTCCTTTCCAAAATATAATAGCTCTGTATCATGACTTGTTTGTTTTTGCAGAGCTTCTTTTTTATTTAGGATTTTCTAATGAATTGCTTAAAAAGCATTACCTTTATACCGACTTGGTATTCTTTTCCACTCTTAGTTTTGGCAGAGAGCATGTATACTTGAGTTAGAAAAGTTGCTCAGTTTTCATCATAGACTACTTGACTTTAAATAAAGACTAGTGCTTTCATGGTTCCAAAGCAACAACAAACAAGGATTGAATTAAGATGTATTCAATTCTTACATTTATGGGAGCATTATAAATTATATATCTTAGCTATCTTTTAAAAATCATTTATTAATAGGAATTTTTTGGTGCAGTTAATGATGTTCCTCATTTGCATATGTTACATCTTATTTTGAAATTGGCATGTTTTATAAATCCTTAAACCAAAACATTTTCGAGGGCTGGGGAGATGGCTCAGTAGAATAACCACTTGCCTGGCAAATGCAAGGGCCTGAGTTCAATCCCTGGTTCTGTCAAAAAAAAAAAAAAGAAATTTCAAAGTGTCAATGCAATCAATAACTGAGTATATGCTAATATAATTTATTCATTTTTAGCATGTTCCACCTTCCTTCTTCACGGAACCTAATGAAATATCACAGTATTTACCAATAAAGGAGGCAGTTTGTGAGAAGCTAGTATTTCCAGAAAAAGTTGATCCTGATTCTGCAGACTCACAAGAAAGCATACCTGTGGAATAGAATGTGATTCAACGTAACACTCACTGCGGAATCTGACTGGACCCCTTGGCTATTTGTAAGGGAGCCTTTTCTATGATGAGAGAATTAATTTCTTTGTTTGTGTGCAGATTTTCTGTAGCCTTGAAGGAAGAAAAAAATAAAAGATGGTTGCAGGCAGGTTCCACTTAACTCCTGTTTGTACTGTGTATCTTCACATTCATATTCCACATTTTATATTTTGTGGAGTTAAGTTTGTGCTTCTAAATGACCACAGAGTGGGTCTACAGCAGGAGTGATGTGTGTGCATCTCATGGACACAGACAGAATCTGCATCCATCACGAAACACTTGTCTCCTACCGGGAAGAGTTTAATTTAAACCATTGAACCCCAATGCCCCATGACTTGTGTAGGATTCCCAATCATGCATGTTGCTGCACAGGCTCTTCGCCTTGGGCGTTATGACACCTAGCACACTTCTAGAGAGTTGTGACTTATCACCTAGAAGGTCTCATAGCTCAATGATCGTCACCCACAAAATTTACAAAATGTATTTACCTTCTAATTTTAAGTTAGCTTTGAAATACAAAGAAATGTTTAGATACAGAACCAGAAAAACCTCTTGTTTTGGAGAACACAAATCCTTGTGTGCACGGACGCTTATGAGCACGAGTTACCTGGATGTCAGGGCTCTCTTCACTCTAGCCCGGGCAGCGGGCAGCACTAAAATATACAGAAGGAAATTTCAAATCCACTTAGTTCCTTGGGGATGACCCTTTATACATTTTATATTCTTTTCTGCTATTCTGGATATTCTTTATAAAGTGGAAAATTATTTAAGTACCAACTAAGAAATTACTTGAAGCAGATTTTTTAAAATAATTTTTTAAAGAGCGAGAAAGAAATGCTTTTATTTGGCCTGAAATAATTTAAATATTTCCACATGATAGAAAAAACATTAAAAAAGAACATTTAATTGAAAGTATTAGCAAAACTGTTAAGGTATTGGCTTGAAGAGAAATTTTAGTGAAAAAATACATTTCGATATTCATCCTTCTCAAACTTTGGTATATTATTGTGAGCCAAATAGGCAGGGTCTATCTTACTAACTAAATTTGGTCACAAACAGTTTTTGTATTTGTCTGCCTTTTGCATTACCTCCAAGGTAGGAAATCAAGATTTGTTGTTCAGTGTGTATTATATGTACCTAATCTTTTTTCTTAGGATTATGTGGGGGATATGCATACTACTCAGCTTTCTGTTTTATTTGCCATGCAGATTTAAACAGAATTCATGCAAATTATAAGAAATGAAAAGTTGTAAGAATGTTCATTGGTTGGAGTTGCTGGGCAATGTCATATTAGGAGAGAGAATACATATTTTTTAAAAATTTATTGATTCAGATTTCTTAATAATCTGAGTAGTCTTAGAGTACTTGATAATTCATTGTTAAAAATTAAGAGTTGACTTTCTTTTCCTTTTTTTAAAAGATGGTGGGAGGTGGGTGGGATGAGTCTGCTTCTGAAAGTTCTATTAGTTTATTTTTGTGGGGACTACCAAGAACATGTGTATTTGGCTGTTGATAAGTATGACATGTGTATCATTTTATATTTATTTGTTCCAGTTGTCTTTTTGTAAGAGAAAAATTAAAAATTACTGATCTGTATTTCGCTATTTATTTCAACTTAGAGCTTAATTGAAGAGTGATTTAGTGTATATTTTGGTCATTTGAAGGTAGGTGTCTTAGTTACTTTTTATTTGTTGCTACCTGACACTCAAAATTAAGGAAAGGTTTATTTAGCTCACAGTTTGTGGAGGTTTCAGTCCATACTCTGCCAGCTCCAAGTCAAATGGCAGCAGTTCATAGCAGTGGAAAACAGTGACGAGCAGAGGAGGAACAACAGCTGTGGTACCCATCAGGCCTCTCTCTCTTCCTTCTGTTCTGACTGCGAAGACCAGCATTCCACTGTGAAGATCAGAGTGTCCCCAAAATGGCACAGCTGTGAAGATCAAGCTCCTCTGAAGTAACACAGCTGCAAAGTGGCACAGTGAAGACCAGGACTTCTCCGAAGAAGCAGAGCAGGCAGAAGCCTTCTTCAGCTTCTTTATATACACTTTTTTGTGCTGAGTCACTCTGGGGCGGCCCCGTGAAACCCTAGGGTGGGCCCAATCATGCCCCAGGGTGGGACAAATTGTGCCCTAGGGCAGGCCCTCCTCTATCCCCTCTTCCTCTCCCTCCCCCACTCAGGGGCCCCCAGGACCTGGAACTACTGGCCTAGAACTGCTGGAGCTTATTCAGTGAAGTGGACACAATGTGTCAACTAGCACAGTAGGAATACTTTTTATACCTATCATCTCAGTTTTGAATATTAATGTGTTCAGTATGGTGCTAGTTACGGTGGTACCTTGGTTCATAAACTTAATTCCACAGTTCTGGTTGTAAAACAGATTGCACAAGAATGGAATCAGATTCAATAGTTAGGTTCAATGTTGAGCTTATGGGGAAATTTGAGTGAGCTCTCATCCATTAGGTTTGTAACCAAAATCTTGGAAAGAATTAAGTTCATGAACTGAGGTATTACCATGTAGGGAATTGGGTTACATATGTGTGGATTCAACCAGTGAAATGGATCAATACTATACAAATAATTTACATCTATACTGAATAGTAGACATTTTTCCTTGTCATTCCCTGACAATATTTATAATATTTAACGACTATTTACATAGCATTTACATGATATTAGCCACATTTTGAGGTGACCAAATTTTACTTAATCTGTTTTTTATTTTTTCGGTACTGGGGCTTGAAACTCAGCACCTTGGCACTGAGCTACATCAGACCACCTTTGTTATTTTTGGGGTTGAGACAGGTCATCCCAAACTCATTTAATTGCCCTGGCTGCATTTAAACCTTCAGTCTTAGTCCTCCAAAGTGCTGGGATCATGGTGTGTGCATCCATACCAGTTGTAACAAATCTTTGGGTGGTCTAGTGTATCTTTTTGGGTTATCTGGAAGTCTCAGTCAAGGTACTTCATTTGAATGCCATCCTAAGTTGTTTCCTAGTGGCTTACTCACAAGCAAGGTTGGAGCAGGAAAGGTGAGAAAGTTCTAGTCAGCAATTAAGGCATGTAGGAGGTTGTGGGGAGACTGGCTGGAGCAGTGATTGACGTGGGCGAAGGTGAAGGGACCCCCGGAGCAATAGCACAGGGCTCATGGCATAATGCATGGGTCAAGATTAGAGGTGCAAGGCAGTTAGAAGCTAATATACTCTTAGGGATATTTGCTTCAGCCACTGTGCTTCTCATTCCTGGATAAGCTGGCTCAGCAGACCATCCTGTTCCTTTTCCATTGGCCAAAATTCTTACACAATTTTTCTTCTGTACCTTTATTCTCATGCCTTGGGGTACAAATAAAAAGCCAGGGGATTTTCAGATTGGTACTGTTTTCCTGAGATTTTCTAATGCTCATGAGGCTCATAAAGCAGTCTTGGAGTTTAAACTGCACTTGACTCCGAGTAATCTGTCATTCTCTGGCCCACCACAGTTGCACAGTGACAGGTGATTTGGTTTATGAAACTCCCCAATTCCCCCGTAGGCCTTCCTTTTGACAGGTATTAAAAACCTTAGGATGCTATGGACAGAAGTAACCATAATACCCCAAAGCAAAAATCCATTATCTCTGGGGAGAAAATCATTGATAACACCTATCTGTCTGGGAGTGGGAGGGTTAGGAATTTCTGAAGGAACACAGGCAAAAGTTTTCTTGACTTTGGAGGATGTGTAGGGACAGTTGGGTCCCTTAGGGTTAGGTTAGGTGAGGATCTACATTCAGTAGGCAGCAGAGGTGACAGCCTGTGGTTTTGAGACCTGCTTTTGTGCAGTACACTGACCCCTACTTCTCCCCTCAAAATTCTCATGTTACCCCACCAAATCTAGCCCCATAGCAACAAGTCCAGTAGCAAAGTAGTGATCATCAGAGGAGCTAGACACTTGGCCCTGTACCCCATAAATAGGATCACAATCCCAAATTTGTCAATGACCTAGCTCTGGATGTTGCTGCCCCTCTCAGTTGGCTCTTTCCATTTCTGCAAAACGGAATAAAAACACCTCACTTTGCACTGGTCTTTCCGGACTCCTTTCTCCTCATATATCAGAGAGACAAACCTGGCTAGGGTGAGTCTGGGGACCCCTAGGCCCCAGACCCACTAGATGTAACAAAAGTCCTAACAGTTGAGGTCCAGAATCCCACATGTTCTGCATGAAATTCTCATACAAGACCAACAATGGATTTAAGGTAGTCTGGCCACTGTTGGGAAAATGGGGCAGGAACACCGAGAAAGCTTGTACTCCTAGAAGCCAGACACAAAGCTTCCCCAAGACTGAGGCTAGTTAAGGTTAGTAGAGGCAAAACTTCCAGTTCCCACTGAGCCTACTGGCCACAAATACCAAGGAACACGGGTCTATTGAGAAGGCAGCCGTGTAAATGTATGCCTTCTAGCTGGTGTCAGCCCATAGGAATCTGCAAGTTGAGTGTGGGAGTCAGAACTACTGCAGCTCACGTGTACTTTAAGTACCAGGTGACAGCAGCTACTTTCTGGGTGAATGCGGAACCTGGAGTGTACTAAATGAAGATAACAACAACCATAATCAAAACGTGTATGCGTTGACAGCCCCCAAACCAATGGGTGACAGGAGACACATTTCCAAGTGTAAACACTACCTACCTCATTTCTTTTGTTAGATACGTGATGTTTGCCATTCAATAAAAACTCAGTTCAGAGATGAGATGTGTTGAGACAGACTTTAAGATAACAGGTTAACGTGTAGTGGGGACTTAAAGAGGGAACTTCAGCAGTGGACTGGGCAAGAGTAAAATGGAAGTACTAGAGGGGAAAACCTGCAACATCAGAGAAAGAGATTTCTTCAGAAAAGTTGATACAGTTGAAGGAATAATTAGCCGACTTGAAAAGTCTCTGGTGATTCCAGAAACTAAGACACAAAGAAGAAAGTAGTGGTAGGGAAACAGTACAGAGCATACAAAAACTGTGGGGCAAAAATCAAATCTATCAGTTGGAGTGTTGCAGTCGGGGTTTACAAGGGAAAAGATTTAACACAGGACATATAAGATTATTTATGTATTTATTTGTTTATTGTGAC